CAAGTTATGCAAGTAATTCTCTTCTTTGCAGTGTGTTTTGTGCAAAAGAGAGAGAACAAAGTGACGACAAGTACTCTTGTTTGGATTTATTTTTTTACTTAAAACACTGTGTAAACCCAGCTCATGGTGCTTTTATTCAATGAAACATGGAAAAACAAATCAGGGCTCAGAAGCTTGCATAAACCTAGTCACTGCCCACACTTATACTGTGTTAAGCAATCTTGTATTTGACTTTGTGTGTCATTTCAACCCAGGCTATGGGTCAAAATGCAGCTAAGGCAAAACAGGATAACAATAATTTGTAATAATGGTTTAATACTGGCTAGCTTGCTATTAGTATGGTTTTAGTATGTTGTCCGAAATTAGATATTTTGTTGCTGGACAAAGCAACTAGCATTATTTTGCAGAAGAAAGGGTTCCTAGAGCATTGACAAAGCAGAGCTGCTTCAGAAGAAACATCTCTGTTGCTACAGTCCTTTTCATCATTCACAGTATGGAAGGAATTAATTGTGGACATAAAGGATTTAACTATTCCTTCTCCCCCCCACCATCCTCCACTATGCTTTTTCTATTTTTTACATTTTAAAAAAAAGAACAATAAACAAGCAATGAGAAAGTTGGCTGAAAAATTTAGACTTTACAGCAAAGATGATGCAAGCAACTGCAAGAGTGATTAACTTGACTGCCCCCCCATCATTGCTAATATTTCTATGAAACTTCCATATGTTTCAAAACATGTAAGTTACCTAATATGGGTAGAATGAAGAATTCTCTGTAGCGGCTCGTGAGCATAGCTACTATAAAGGTATGATTTAGGATTGGTGATAAGAATTACAGGCCATTCTTCAAATTTCAGGTCAGCAAAACTGAAGAGATCATGATCAAAAGCAAGAATCCGATACCTGATATTCAACAATTAAAATAATATTTTAATTAACAAGGAACATCTTAAAGAGTAGAAGATATTTATTTATTTTATTAATTGTATATGCCACCCATCTTCCTAATAAGGTGATCCTGGGCCACTTACAGATCACAAAAAGATAAATAGAAAAGCAGTTAAAATTTTCAAATTATGCAAAAAACAAAACCAAACCCAGGAACCAAGAGACAGATGGTACAGGGATAAGTTTATCTTACCCTGTCAGCCATCTCCAGTGGTGAGCAGTCCCTTCGTGGCCCCAAACTAGCTAGCAAAGTCATGTTTTAACACCCTTCTGGAAGGCCAAAAGGGTGGGAAAGTTTTTCCTTCTGGTGGTACAGAATGGACCACAGCGAAAAAGGCTCTTGTCTTTGACCTTCCCACTGGACTTCCTTAGCAGACGCGATCCGTAGCAGACCTCTTTTGCTGGCACAAATGTGTGAGTTAGTCCCTTTGGAGTGAGATGGTTCCTCAGATACTCTTGACTCATGCAATATAGGGCTTTAAAAGTAATTGAAACATACCTTGAACTGGGCCCAGAAGCAAACTGGTAACCAATGTAGCTTGTGCAATAGCAGCGTAATATGTGCCACTCTAGGGGCCTACAGAATTGTGCATGCTGCTGCATTCTGCACTTGCTATAGCTTACGAATACTTTTCAAGGGTAGCCCCATGTAGACCGTGTTGCAGTAATCCAACTAAGAGATGATTAGGGCATGAATGACTATGTGTAGTCAATTATGATCCAAGTAAGAGCTCAACTGGCGCACAACACAAAGTTGCACAAAGGCCCCTCTAGTCATGATTGCCACCTGCTCTTCAAGCAGGAGTCATGAGAACCTCCAGTTTGCATATTGTGCAACCATGCCATCCAGAACTAAAAATGATAAACAACTGGATCCTGAGGTCCCTTGCACCCACAACCACTCTCTTTTGCCAAGGTTCATCTGAAGCTTGTTGTCCCCCATCCAGACCCCTACAGCTTCCAGGCACTAAGAAATGATAGAAAATAGAAAAATAAAATAAAATTTGCCTTTGCGTTGGACGTTTACTTACTTCCTAGTATGCTTCCAGTCTCCCAACTCCAGTTCTAAAGTTCCATCAGGATGACGAGTATGAAGGACAGGCATCAGGCCACCCAATGTATGGAAATGCCCACACAAATAAACTAAGGCAAAACTAATCAAAGCAAAATATAGCATTAATGTATAGCATACAATATCACTACTCTGAACTTTTGCCATTATAAAGTCTAAGAAAAGAAACCATGAGCTTAGAACAACTATCATTTTAAAAAACAAACTATATCTAACTATTAAAAATACTGGGATTACTGAATTAAAAGAGGGGAATTCAAAGCTAGAGATGAATCCAAAATTCATACTATGCTATCTAAACAGCTGAAAATAAAAAAAATAGTGCCAAGAAATGCTGCAAAACTGAGAACAGACAAATACCCTCAGTATAGAACTGAACTACATCAAGCTTGTCTGACTTCATCTGGCAGTCAGCACTGGGCATTTTTTGCACATTATTGCTCAGGACTTGGTGATATTATAAATTATGAAGGAGATGATGTCAAAGGAGAGTACAGGGATGACAAATTGGTCTGTACTGCCTTGTAACCCGGTGAATAAGTCTCTGTAAAATGAGCAGGAGAAGAGACTGTGGTTTTGATTTCTCCATTACAGGAGCATACATGTCCTGGGTAAGGGGATCTTCTTAATACCTTTTGTTTACCTAGGAAAGGGCATTGCAACATGAAAAACTATTATTTTTAGAAATATTAACTTCTGGCCAATTAACACTGTAATTTTAACAATAATTATTTCTTGTTATTCATTAATACAAAATGAACGATTTATTTTAAAAAGCATAAGATAAACAATTCATATATTTCAAAAAAAAAATTTTTTTTAAATAGTATACCGCATGGCTGCTCGTATTCCTGGAGATACAGAGATGATTGATGAGGTAGGGAAATGACCAAACAAAATGGTATGGTTACTATCATGACTTTCTGAGATCAGTTCAGACAACTCTGCCATTTTATTCTGAAATGAAAAGGTGCAAAAGTTTTAATAATACATTGACTGCCAACAGTCAACACATACATGCAATTTTTAAACACAATATTAGTACTGGAAGCCATGAACATCTTTAAAGTCCTAGTTACAAATAAAGTTTAATATTTGTAAGTCACCCAGAATCGCCTCTAGATGAAGTGGGCAGCACACAAATCTAATAAAATTAATAAAATTATTATTATTATTATTATTATTATTATTATTATTATTATTATTATTATTATTAATAATGATGATGATGATGATGTTGGAAGGGACCTTGGAGGTCATCGAGTCCAACGCCCTGCTGAGGCAGGAAACCCTACACCATTTCGGACAAATGGCTGTCCAGTCTCTTCTTAAAAACTTCCAGTGTTGGAGCATTCACCGCTTCTGGAGGCAGGTTGTAAAGAATAAACATCTCCAAATGGCTCCCATTTAACAGTTAAAAAAAAACAGATTTTATTTTTATATCCACAGGACCCAAGGACAGTGCAACCATCATAAATATGTACCAGTTGCCAAACATCTGTATTTTGATCATGTTACCAGGGGGATACTGCAACAGTGTTGCGAAAAATGGTCATAAGTCACTTTTTTCAGGACTTCCGGTATGCAGGCGACCTCGTCGGACGCAACCGACAGCTGCCTCCCGCCTGTTTTCGCGCAAAAGCCGTTTTGACAGCAAGCATCAGCTGTCAAACGGCTTGATATCTTTGCCCTGGGCATAAGGGGATCGGTGAGCTGCCCGGGGTAGGAGTTGAGTTCCCGAGTCGTCCTATGTGGACGATGTAGGTTAGAACTCCTCCGGAGCCCCGAGGATTCTCCGCGATCCAGGACGCCTTCGCTTCGGCGAAGCCAGAAGCCGCCGCCACCGCTGCAACTTAAATTGAACTGTGAGTTATTATATGCAGACAA